TCACAGCAGGTGCTCCCTAGCGTCTAGCAGCGTCGGACCGTGTTGTAGCCGAGCTGAGTAGCAGCGTGAGCCTCCTCGAGAAGGAGGAGCGCATCCTCCTTCCCTCCTCCTCCTCCCTCCCCTTCTCCCTCCTCCCTTCTCCCTTCTCCCTCCTCCCTCCTCCCTCCTCTTCTTCCCCCTCCCTCCTCCCTCCTCCAGCTTCCTCCTCCATCTTGCCGGCTGATGTTCCCTCGCAGGTACGGTTTTACTTTCGTCCTCAGCTTGACTCTCTGCCACTTCATCGCGACCACCGTCTTCCTCGAGGGGGTCACGCAGTTCAAGCTCTTCGGGTCATCAGTGAAACACATGGAGACGGTTTGGAGATCCTCCTGCTATCGTCTCCTCTCTCCTCCTTTCTGCTCGATCCCCGGCTCTCATCGCATCATCTCCCCCGATCTCCCGCCACATCTTCTCTCTCCACATCCCTGCTCTTCTCCCCTGTCCTCTCCTCTTTTTCTTCCCTTCATGGCGTTTCCATGCCTTATTCCTGCATGCTCAGAAAGACAACTGGCTTACGGCCTTCTGTGGAGTTCTGTCCATTGCCTTCATGAACTTTTCCCTTCAAGTGAGACTTTCACAACTGCCTGTCTACAAGGATCATTCTTATGGCAGGCGAACTCCGTCGGGTTCTATCAGATCACCAAACTCTGCATCATCCCTGTGGTCAGCCGCCTTCGATGCTGCTCCATGACAATGACGTTGCTCGATCAGGTGCTGGGAATCGAGTACGCCAAGTCGGGGAAGACTGTATCGTACCGCGTGCTGATCAGGTTGGGTCGGAGGGGTCAAGGCAGTGGTGGGTAACGGGTGTCTCAGCCTCGGGCTGCTGCTTGCCGGTGTGGGGATCGCAACAGGTGGAGTGAGAGCTCGGCACGTGCTGAGGTCGCTGACTAGCTGGTCCGGCAGTGACTGACATCCAGCTGAACATGAAGGGGTGCATGTATGCAGGTCCTGCAGCTGACCTTGTCCTGCCTGCTGCTCTTGCCTGTGCTGGAGTGCCCCCTGAGACTCCTGAAGTGCCTGTGACGGGGACGTTGTGCTTGTTGTTGCGAGGTCGTGAAGGACTTCAGATCCCTGATGCCTCCTTCCAGTCATCGCAGTGTTGACGACGGCACAGTTCCAGCTGTGGCAGGTAGACTGCTAGAGGATCTCGGAGACAAGGTGGTGACGCCTGTGCTTGTCCTGGACCTGCAGGGGAGCAAGCAGAAGCAGCACGGTCTCTCTGCCATTCAGATCACCCACAGCATCGCCCTCCCCCAGGTACCGACCGACGGTGTCAATTGGTTTACAGCTCATGAGCCTGTCAGACGCTCATCACGCTCGCCTCGGTCGTGGTCGTTGAGCCGGTCGATCCCCAGCTCTCCCCCAGCTCGTCACCTCCGCTGACTGTCCCAGCAGAACGTTACCTCGCACACCTTCTCCTCCAACTACGGTGATCGCAGCTACCCCTGTTCTCTGCCTTCAGCTCTGACCCCAGCTGGCAGTGGACGTGGCGCTCATCGTGCTTACCTGCCTCATAGCGATGGTGATGAACGTCACGTCCTTTGGCCTCATCGGAAAGACGTCGGCCGTGACTTTCCAGGTGACTTGGACACCCTCGTGCAAACTCCCGACCCGGCACTGACGTTTGATAGGTCGTGGGGCATGCCAAGACTTGTCTGATCATCGTGATCGCGTCTTGTCTTCTGCTCCCCCTCCCTCACATGCTCCTCCAGGCTTCCGGCTTCATCTTCTTCCCTCCCGCTTACTTCTCCGCCAACGTCTCCTCGCCTTCTCCTCCTCCTTCTCCTCCACTGATGGCTGTAAGCAGGAGATCAAGAATCTTTTCGGCTTGTTCGTAGCGGTAGCTATCCTCCACCTCCTTCCCTTCCCTTCCCCTCCCTTCCCTTCACGTTCACCATCTCACGCGCTTCTGCCCTCTCTCCTCCTATCCTCCTTTCCTCCTCTCTGCCACTGACTTCTCCTTCCCTCCTCGCTGCTTCTCACCCCTGTCCCCTCCCCCTCCCATCCCTCCTCTTCCCCTCCTCTCCTCTCCTCACTCTCATCAGATTCTGGGGATGGTGCTTTACGGTCACATCAAGACGGTGGACCAGAGGAGGAGCAACGGGGATCAATCTCCAGGTGAGGGCGAGCAGAAAGAGGAGGCTCCTTATGTGCTCGCAGACTGTTTGGACTCGCTCCTTCCGGACCCGAAGTTCAAGGCAGCGGGAGCGAGCCAGGTGAAGGGAGAAGGGGAAGGGAGGCGGGGGAGATGAGGAGAGAGAGGAAGACGCGAAGGAGTTCGTGCGAAGAGGGAGAGGAGGAGGAGGAGGAGGAGGAGGTGGTGGTGGTGGTGGTGGAGGTGGTGGTGGTGGTGGTGGAGGTGGTGGTGGTGGTGGTGGGGTGGGGGGATTTTGCTGATACCGGCTGAAGATGCAGGAGGAGGAGGAAATTCAGCCCATAGTGAAGGAGGAGGAAGGGGAGAAGTCTTAGATAGGAGCGAGCCTGCCGCTCCTCGGAGGTCTAACAAGA